TTACAGGCTTTTTAAAAATGTGAGGCCAGGCGAGGTGGCGCACGCCTTTAATCCCAGCACTTGGGAGGCAAAGGCAGGTAGATCTTTGTGAGTTCAAGGCCAGCCTGGTCTGCATAGTGAGTTCCAGGACAGCAGGAGCTACAGGGAGACCCTGTCTCAAAAAGACCAAATAATAATAATAAATAAAATAAAAAATAAAAATAAATTAAAAAAAAGTAAACTGACAAAGATGGTTGTTTGGGCTACAGTGGGGACATTGCATCTGGAAAAAATTTGATTTGAGATGCCCTAAATGCTCATGTTAGACCTCCCTCATCTCTCGGGAGACACCAAGGCACCAAGACCAAACAGGTGACTTAGAGCCAGGAGTACTCCTTTTTTCAAAGGGCAGCCCAAGCCGGGGAATTTTCATTGGGATGTTTGTGTATGCATGCATCTTTTTATTGGTCCCCTACTATGTGATAGGACCACCCTTGTTATGTTTAAATTTCCAAACAACTCTGTGCCGTAGCATGTTATCTCCATTTCACAGATGAGTCTAAAGTTTAGGTCACATGCCCCAAATCACAGGATTGGTTTTCGGGTTAGAGTACAGGTCTAGTTACCTCCAGATATATTTGCTTCCGTACATCAAGCTAAAATCCAGAATTTTTGATGTTCTGAGCCTATGTTCCTTTAGCCTAGTTTCACAATTTGAAAGTACAAAGGAGCTCCGAGTTCTCCACGCGCAGTGTTGGGGACTGCTAAACTCACATAACACATCTTTCTACGCGGAACTAGAAAGCGAGAGCCTTGTTTCCTGGCGAAGAGAAAACAGTAAGGGACCGGAAGTTGCTTGTGTCAATCTGGGTGCTGGCCCGCCAGACCCGGTTGAGGCCGTAGCGGACTGCCCTTTCCCAAGATGGCTTCAAAGATTGGTTCGAGACGCTGGTTGCTGCAGCTGATCATGCAGCTGGGTTCGGTGCTGCTCACACGCTGCCCCTTTTGGGGCTGTTTCAGTCAGCTCATGCTGTACGCTGAAAGGGCGGAGGCGCGCCGGTGAGCGTGCCCACGAAGCGGTCGAATGCGGGTGGGGGGCGGTACGGCCTGTCCCAGGAACTAGGGTGCGATGTTGTAGGAATGTTGGGACCCACAAGTTGAGACACTTGGACTGGAATAAGTTGGGAGGAATTGGTGTCCAGACTGGTTGGGAGGGTCTTTGGTCCTGGTGTACGGCCAGATCTGATGCGGCGGACCTGGCCGTGAGAGGGGACTCCAGTTTCTGGGGAGAAATGGAGTTTTCGGGAACTTACAGAAGTCCCCAGGCGCTTATTTGCCGTTCATTCTGACATCGTTGCTTCCCTACTCTTGGCTCACAGGAAGCCTGACATCCCAGTGCCTTACCTCTATTTCGACATGGGGGCGGCTGTGCTGTGTGCTAGCTTCATGTCCTTCGGAGTGAAGCGGCGCTGGTTTGCGCTGGGGGCCGCACTACAGCTGGCGATTAGCACCTACGCTGCCTACATCGGTGGCTACGTCCACTACGGGGACTGGCTGAAGGTGAGCACGTCGACCCTAGAAGAGACTTAGCTATGGGGAAGGAGCTGCGAGCTCCCAGGTCACTTGGTCGGCATGTCTGGTACTCAAATTCATAAAGCAAAAGGGACCTTGGACAGTATCTGGTCTACTTGTGGATTCTATGAAATGCAATTAATATTAGTGAGAATTTGTGCCTGCAAGCTTGGAAGTAAGGTGGGAGGAAGGCAGGACCATTGAGGAAGGGACTGTTAGTCCAACAGGGGAGGCAAATATGTGGACAGCCGTGCAGCTATGGGACAGTGGAGCTTTTTTTTTTTTTGAGAATCTCCTTGTAGCCCCAGCTGGCCTGGAACTCACTATGTAGACCAGGCTGGCCTCAAACTCACAGAGATCCACCTGCCTCTGCCTCCCGAGTGCTAGGATCAAAGGCGTGCGCCACCATGCCAGGCCTTGGAGCTATTTTTTTATTTTTATTTTTTTATTGGTACAGACACTATACTACACAGAGATAACCTTGGGCTTAGACTCTAGACTGGGGTGAAAGAGAGGACAATGTGTGGTGTCTGGGTTGTGCCACTTACTTTCTGTAGGACCACAGACAATTTTCTTAACCTCCTTGACCCTCAGTGGGGCCTGTCCACCACACTTGGAATAGATAAGATGGTACATCAGATAAAATGGGATGTGTAGAAGTGGCCAGTTCTATATACTAGGCAACCAAGAAAAATGTAAGGAGTGCAGTTCTTGACTGGGGTCTCCCTTACCTGGCCTTAGGTCCGTATGTACTCACGTACAGTTGCCATCATTGGTGGCTTTCTGGTGCTGGCCAGCGGGGCTGGGGAGATGTACCGTCGGAAACCTCGAAGCCGTTCTCTGCAGTCCACTGGCCAGGTGTTTCTGGGCATCTACCTCATCTGTGTGGTAGGTTGGAATTCTTTTGGTTGGAGGCACTTGTGTAGGAGTAAAATGGTGGCTCTTAGGGGTTGTCCTGGACAGGTGTCGAGGGCTTCCCAAGCATGTGCTACCTGGCTAAGGTTCCTGTCTTCCAGCATCACTGCCACCAAGTAGATAAGAAGTTGACCTTCCATTCAGTCATAATCTTGAGAGTCAGGCAGACAAGATGAGGTGATTTTCTCATTGCTTCAGTCTCCAGTAGACTGGCAGAGGAGACAACAAAGAAGTGTACAGCTCAGCCCTAGTTGTAACTGTCACCTAGAGCTGATGGGGGCTACCTAGGGTAGACAGGCATAGCCTTTTCGGGTGCTTGAGAAGGCCAGCGTAGATGAGGCTATGGATAGGCTTCACGCACTTGACCTTATCCTAGTAGCCAGACACCACATCCCATGTATGGAGTTCTATGTGGGCTTCCATGGTATGTGTATTCAAAAGTGGGAATCTCAGTCTGACTGTGGAGACACACTTCCTTCCTTCAGAAGCCCAGGGGAGTAGAGATACAGCCTTTCCTTGTGGGGCCCTGTAGTCAGAGGGGAAGACACAGGTCCTACTTTCAGAGAGTCCTCATTCTGAGAGGGGACTCAAGCCCATCTTATAGGGGCTGACTTGTAGATGCCCTCTCAGGGAGACTCTCAGCGTGCTGGAGAGTCTTAGAGATGCTGTGTCCCTAGGCTTACTCACTGCAACACAGCAAGGAGGACCGGCTGGCATACCTGAACCATCTTCCAGGAGGGGAGCTGATGATCCAGCTGTTCTTTGTGCTGTATGGTGTCCTGGCCCTTGCCTTCCTGTCAGGCTACTATGTGACCTTGGCCGCCCAGATCCTGGCTGTATTGCTGCCCCCGGTCGTGCTGCTCATCGATGGCAATGTCTCCTACTGGCACAACACACGGCGTGTTGAGTTCTGGAATCAGATGAAGCTCATTGGCGAGAGTGTGGGGATCTTTGGGGCTGCAGTCATCTTGGCTACTGATGGCTGAATTCGACAAGGAATGGCTGAGATGGGCACAGGGGGCCACTGAGGACTACCCTACCTTTCTCCTTGCTGACCCAGTTGCTGTTTATTTATGCCTCTTGGTTTGTTTGATTTTTTTTTTTTTTAATAGTTTTCTTCCCTAAGTTCCTGGCTCAGCCTGTGGGAAGATGGGAGCCCTCATGCATTAGCCTTACAGTGTTGTTTTTTTCTTCCCTGTTTTTTAGGGGAAAGCTGAGGCTTGCTGCCCGCTGTGTGACCAGGGAGGGAAGAGTCCCTGAAAAGGGAGTAAGGCAGAGATGGGGTACATGTACTAAGACTGGCATATAGGAAGATCTGGAAGGGAACAAATGTGAAAAGTTCCTTCTGAACCTGGCAGATGCAGCTAAGCTAAAAAGTGCTTTTCAGACTGGGTATACCCATGTATTCACACATGTAGGGGGGACCGTGCGGGAGAAACAGTGGCTACTTTAGAGGTCATGTGGGTTCTTGGGAAATGGTGGGACAGAGAGCTGTCACCCGCTGTTGAGTTCAGAGCAGGCCCTGGTCTGCTCTGGGATATGCTGGGAACAGCAGACTGTGGCCAGCCCGTCCACTCCCTCATCTGTTTCCAACTCCTTGGTTGGCCTGGTTGGGTGGAGTACCCTCCCAAACACCAGACCACACAGTCTTCCAAAAATAAACATTTTATACAGACATTTTGTTTTTGCATCTATCTTTTCCATGGGGCACTTTGTTATTGGCTAGGGTTGACCATCTCTGGTTAAGCCCCATCTTTCTCTTCCATGGGAGTTCCCCCAGTTCTTTGAATGTCTTTAAAATTTTTTTTAAAACATTGATTGGTGGGTACAGTTCAGTAGTGCAGCATTTTCCTGGAATGCCACAGGCCCTGGTTTCATCCCAGCACTGAAAAAGAACTTCTCATATCCCCAAATCCTTACTGTAATTTGTTTTCTTTTTTGTTGTTTTTGTTTTTCTTTTTGAGACAGAGTCTCACTACATAACATTGGCTGGTCTGGAACTTCCTATGTAGATCAGGCTGGACTCACGCAGAAATCTATCTGCCTCTCCCTCCCAAGTGCTGGGACTAATGGTGTGTGCCACCACACCTGGCTTGGTTTTGTTTTTGAGACAGGATCTTACTATGTAGCCCAGAATGGCCCCAAATTCATGTTCTTCCTGCCTCTACTTCCAGAATGCTGGTTACTGGAATGTCCTGCCACATCAGGCTTAATTTATGCTTTTGATTTCTCCCTCAGTTCCTTTCATGGCCTGTCTTTCCCTCTTTGCCCCTTTGGAACACACTATACATGAGGAAGTGGTTTAGAAAAGGTAAGCAGCTTGGTACAAACCACAGAGCAAATCCAGCCAGAGCTAGATGGCTGCTTAGGTCTCTCTAATGCCCAACCTTGATGTATTCTTGACAAACATGATTCCCAAGGGAAGTCAGGCTGCTCTTGGGCCTTGGGCCTGTCACAGCCCCTGATCTTAAAACTGACCACCTCCCTGCTTGTTTCTGCCCTCTAGTAACTTAAAGCAGCCCTAGTTAGCCAGTAAGGAATCTGGTCTATTAAAATGTTCAAAAAGGGCTGGAGATGTAGCTCAGTTGGTGGTCCTGGGTTCAGATCCCACCACTGAATAAACTGGGTATGGTGGTACATGCCTATAATCCCAACACTCAGAAGGTGAAGGCAAGAAGGCTACATAGTAAGTTTGAGGCCAACCTGGACTATATAAGATACTACATTAAAAAAAAAAAAAAAAGGAATGGGTAGGGGAGGGGGGCACTGGAGAGATAGCTAAGTGGTTAAGATCGCTTGCTTGTTTGATCATGAAGACCAGAGTTCAGATCCCAGTACCCATGTTGATAGATCCACAAATGCCTTAATTCTAGCTCCAAGGGATCTGATGACTTCTTCTGGCCTCTATGGGTATCTGCACACAACATGTGCACACATACATACATATAAGTAAAATAAAAAATAAGACTTGAAGGGCTGGAGAGATTGCTCAGTGGTTAAAAGTACTTGTTCTTTCCGATAACTGGAGTTTGGTTCCCAGCACTCATGTTGGGTGGCTCACAACTGCCTGTAATGCCAGCTCCAGGGGATCCCTTCTGGCCTCCACAGGTACTTACATATGTGTGCATATACACACAGATTTTAAAAAGTCTTTAAAAAAAAGATTGATAGGGGACTGGAGAGATGTCTCAGCGGTTAAGAACACTAGTTGTTCTCGCAGAAGACCTGGGTTTGAATCCCAGCACCCACATGGCAGCTAACAACTGTCCGTAACTCCAGTTCCAGGGGATCTGACAGCCTCTTCTGTCCTCTGCGGGCATTGCACAACATGGGTGCATTTACCTACATGCAGGCAATACACGCATACACATAAAATAAAAATAATAAATAAGCTGGGCGTGGTGGCGCACGCCATAGTCCCAGCACTTGAGAGGCAAAGGCAGGCGGATCTCTGTGAGTTCAAGGCCAGCCTGGTCTACATAGTGAGTTCCAGGACAGCTGGGGTTACAGGGAGACCCTGCTTCAAAAAGACAAAAAAATAAAATATTTTTTATAAAAAGGTTGGTAAAACATTGAATGAAGCCTCTGGGCTCTGGATTGCTGCTCAGCTGAGGTTTGTCGGTCTTGCAAAGATAATGTATGATCTGTAGTGGGACAGAGACTGGCCAAGTCTGGCTTTTAAGCCAAGGCTAGCCTGTGATTTCTCTGGGCTCATAGATAAACATGCCACTGCAGTCAGCTAGGTTTTAGCTCATGTGGGAAAGGGGCTATGGGTAGGGCCTCTCCACAGGGACAAGCAACCATCTGGACTGCAGGATGCTTCCTAACCTAGGGGTAGAGCATTCTTCCTGAGGTCTGTTGACCCTCAGGTGAAGAGACAGTGACCATGTTTACCCCATGGCCCTCCAGTTCTTTCCAGGAATCCTCTGGTCCCTGGTTCTCATGCTCTTGTTCTCAGAGGGCCGCTGCTAATTTCAAGTGTGAGCTGACTCAGACAAGTATTTGCATTTTAATCAAGACCTCCTGAAAAATGGAAAGACCCAAAGGAAGTAAAATGAGTGGTTGGAGATCAGGCAGGTGAGAATAGTTATTTAAGACAAAGGAACCTCAAAACAACACAGAGGCCACAGGAATTGGCCTGGCCTTAAGGTTACCCTAAGTAGAGCCCTGGAAAGCAACCCCCAACCCAATTCCAGGCTGAAAATTGAAGGCCATCTGGTTGTGGCTTTGAAGCAGGGTCTTCAGCTGCCTTCCCTTTTGTGTTTCCCCGTCCTTCGTACCCTCGGCAGATGGCACTGCTTCCTCCTCAGTTGCCTGGGGTCGCCCTCCAGTAGGCATGATTTTTGGTCCACCCTGGCTGTCCCAGGGCCTGTGGGGCCCACGATGGGGGTCAGCTGCCTGGGTCAGAAGCTGGTTTGCAGAAGGAGTCTGGCAGCCCCTTGGCATGGTTGACCAGTTCATAGGAGTCCCGGATGTCAGCTAGGCCAAACCAGAAGAAGATCCACTGTTTGTTGGAGAAGCTGCCATCGCAGTGCTTGAAGTACCTGGGTTGGGAGGACAACAGGGTTGGCTTTTAGGATGAGGCCAGTGCTGACTGCTCACTGGGTCTGTCTTCAAGAATATTTGTCTGTTACATGTTACACACACCACTAGGGCCCACTGTTGTTTTATCCCTAGAGCAGCAACCTGAACTTGTCATTAAGGCTGTATTGGCCTTTCCCAAAACAGCAGCTAAGGCTCAGAGAAGTCAGGTAACTTGCCAGGGTCACAGTTACGAAGGTGAGAGAGGATGTTCCCTGCTCTCTTCATCAACTTAGTTGTGTAGCAAAGGGGCTGGTTCCTGGTCACTTCCTAGTGCTCAGAGAGCAGGGGAGTAGGGGCTCAGGGTGTCTGATACATGAAGGAGCAGAGGGGTGTGTTCCTTTTGAGTGTTCCCTAGAGTGGGTCTGGAGTCAGGAGTCTGAAACAGCCTGAGGAGAGCAGGAGTTATCAGAACCCTGGGAGGGGCAGACTTGGCAGGAGTTAGATGTCACTTGCTTCAAAGAAAGCAGAAAGATGGGACTGAGGAATGCTATTAGGCCTCGGCGAGGCTCTTCCCTGCAGAAGGGAAGCTAGTGAAAGGAGGGAAAGCTCAGTTGCTTGTCTAGTGAAGACCGGACATGGCTGGGCAGGACCCCACCCCCATTCTCCCAGGAGGAGGGCGATGCCTACCAGGGATTGATGGGGTTGGTGACTCGAGAGCGCCAGAACAGCATTTGCAGGTCCCTCCGAAGGCGCTCCCACAGGATCTGACCCGAGCCTTGGCCCTGGCGACCTGAGCTCACCACAAATTTGTCCAGGTATGGGGTGCCCCCTAATACCGGCTCCATGGTCAGAATGGCTGCGGCGTTGTACCTGGTGCAGCGGGAGAGAGGCAGGCTCAGCCTCCTCTGCCCAGCTTCAGCCCTTGGGTTCTGCCCTTTAGGGCCTGGAGGCTCACCCCTCAGAGAAGTAGATCGAGTGCAGCCGTGGGCGCAGGGACTCCAAATAATCGTCCCGGAGCTTCTTGCCGAAGCTGGCGTTGACCAGGTTCACTAGGCGGCCCTGGTCCAGGCTGTCCAGGTTACGTACTCGCAGCATCCGCTCTGCGTTCTTGAACAGGGTGCCTGACCCTGGGGCGAGATTGGTGGAGAGAGGTTGGCCCAGAGCGGGGTCCACCGCTCCACCTGCGCTCCCTGTTCTTGGCTCCAGACAGGGCAAGGCCTGGGGGAGGAAGGTAACAAATACCCTCCATTCCCCCCTCCCCCTCTTTTTTTTTTTTTAGTCTTTTTGAGACGGTCTCCCTGTAGCCTTAGTTGTCCTGGAACTCAGTGTAGACCAGGCACTCACAGAAATCCGCCTGCCGCTGCCTCCCAAGTGCTGGGATTAAAGGCGTGCGCCACCACCACACCGGGCAAAAATAGCCTTTTTTGAGACCTCCACAGTCAAATGATTTTTGTGGTCTGCACCGATTTGCCTGCAGAGTTTGTCCCCCAGCCGTCCACCCATCGCTGGCAGCACCTCCAATTTCCCTAGGTCCCGCTTCTCTTCCTAAACTTTGTCCCTGCGGGCTCCTAGTCCCTCCCACCACTCAAGTTCAGCCCGCCTCTTACCGCAGTCCAACTCCCCCTATCCCATCCCTTCTAAGTCCCACCACCAACGGTGGCCGTCATCTACTCAAGCTCCGCCCATCTCCCTGGTACAACCAAGTCCTTTCCCAGTTCTCAGCATCTCGGCCTCTCACCTCCCCCAGGTGTTGGCAGCTGCAGGAAGCCATTGGTGTGGCCTCTCCCTACAGCTCCCAGATTGATAGGACAGTCCCCAGGCCTCGCCGGCGCTCACTCCTGGGACCCCGCTCCCGCCCACCTACCCTCCCGCGGTCCTCACCCTTGTTGCTGAAGAGCTCGGTGAGCAGTGTGCTGGCAGCAGTGATGACCGCGGAGGAGTGGTGGGGCAGGCGACTGAGCACATCCACGATGAGCCTAATCTGCTGCCGTTCTTTGATGCTCAGCCACTCCGCGTTGGTTACCAGGTCCAGGTCGGCGGGCAGGTTCACGTTGCTCAGAATCTGCCACCAGGGCGAGAGGATGAGCCTCCCACCTACAGGTAGCCTACAGCCACCGATGTGCCCCCATCCCCAGACTGGGCCCTGCCTTCCTATGACCCCTTACTTCCTCCCGGAGTCCTCCGCTATGAAGTGCTCAGATCTGGGCACCAGGGGCCAAAACCCTCTCTGATATTCTGTTAGACCTTCCTACTCCAGTGGCTTGAAAGTGACTGTGGTCTGCAAAGGAGTCTTGCAGGGCCGCAAGACCGAGGCCTTCATGATGCCTAGAGTCATGAGAGAGGCGCACCTTCTGACTGGCATCCTGTAGGCCGCCTGAATTATTGAGGAAGATGATTTTGGTAGGCTTTAGCGCTTTGGCCAGCGACGCGGTCACCTCCAGTGAATCGAGAAGCACCGAGCGACGCGCAGCTGTCTCTCCAATGGGGCACAGGATAGGGATGCTGCTGGACTCCAGGCACCACTGCAACAGATCTGTCTCCACCGAGACGATGCCACCGTAGCTGTGGACCAGATGTAGTGTTCAAGAGGGCCCCCTGTAGCTTGGTGGGACCAGGGCAAGGCCTGCAGAGTGGCCGCTCTGAGGACTCCAGGGCTGGCAGGGCGGACACTAACCTAGCATGCGGGGCTGGTTCCGCAGCGCTCAGTACTGACCCACCGCCAAAAAAAGGCACGGCAGTGGCCGCGTTGTGCCGCAGCTCATTTACTAGCACTTTGCAGCTCTGGGCAAGCTGTGTCTTGGCTTCCCAGAAGGAAAGACAGCCGGAAGGCGCTGTGGGGGTGGGCAGCCCCAGGACCACCAGTGGTTTCATGTCCATGCGCTGCAGGAAGGCCAGGGCGAAGGCCAGGCTGGACACCGCCTGAGGACACTTGAGTACCTCTTCTTCCACCTGTCAGAATTGGGTGTTCAGGGGTGCGACATTGGCTCTGAGCCACTTGCTCCTACTTAGTCCTTAGGACTCTTGGAGTGATCGCATTCTGCTCAGGTGCTGTCAGGCCCCACTTTTGGCCACCGGTGCTCATTTGCTCCGCCCTTTGTCCCCTTTGTTGGGTCTTACCACCCCCTTATCTCTCACTAGTTCATCCCTTGCTCCTCCCTGCGACCTTGGAACTCTGGGACGCGTTGGGGGGAGGGGTGATGCGAAAGCTCTGCGGTCTGAACCCCTAACTGCGTCCATGGTGAGGGGTCGTCCTTCTTTCATCAGGCCTAGAGAACTGGGCTCCCCCGCCTCCTCATTGGCGTCAGGTGCAGTTTCTAGGGGCGCACCGCCTTGTCTATCTCCAGCACTAGTCAGAGCCTCTGCACTCCCTTCCCTGGCCCTGCCATGCAGGATCAACTACTGATCACATGAGGCCGAATACCCAGCTCCCTGCTGTGACGCGGCAACGGCCGGCTCCGCTTACCTCCATGACGGCGAAGGGCTTGTCCACCGAGCGGTAGCAGATCTGGAACTGTGTGAGCCAGTGGCGTGCCTCCCCTGGGCTGGCGCCACACTGGTTCAGGAAGGCCTGGATGTCCCGCTGCACCAGCGATCTGCCGGCCCGGGCCGTAGGGGTCTCGGGGGGACTTGGAGGCGATGCCCACAACGGCTCCTCGACTGCAGGCGACTGGACTCGGCCCTCCACGCCCTCCGCCTCCTCCACGCGAGCCCAGGCTGTACTGAGCCGACGTCCCGGGCTGGCGCCCCTAGCTGTTCGCCGCCGCGCGCTGCCACTTAGTCTCCGGGAACCCCCAGGACCTCCGGGGTCGCGCAGCCTTCTTACCGCAGCAGCTGTGCGCAGGGCTGTGGCCACCCACGCCGTCTACAAAACAAAACCACTATCTCCTCCTGGAGGTGCACCCAACCCCCCCCCCCCCCCCCCCCCGCCACACACTGGTGGCGTTCTTTCTGGAGCGGGAAGCACTGGGGGGCTCTTAACTTGCAGCTGGGGAGGGACTGGATCAGGTACGGGGCGGGGCGGGATAGGAGTCCTGAAGTGGCTTCTGGGTGCGTTTGGGGAGGGGCAGTTTGAGGGTCAGGGGGCGGGGCCTCCAGAATTATCCGCCCCCTGGGAGGGGGAGAATGGATCTACTAGCTAGGGTCAGGAGGTCGACGATAAAGAGTGACGGCGGAGCTCTTTAATCTCCTTGCCAATGGCTCCAGAAGGGCTCGTTTGTAGGTTCTTGATGAGGAGGGAGAGGAGGTGGCCTTGGGTGTATTAGGGGTTGGAAGAAGGAATCTGGAAAGACTGAACATCGGGTGCAGGCCTCCCTGTAGCGCACCGGATGCAAAGTCCTCTTGTCAAGATGGACGTGGTGGCGGCATATGTTTGTAATCTCAACTTCCTGGGAGGCTGGGGCGGAGGATTACTGAGTTTGAGGCGAATTTAGGTTACATAGCAAAATCTTGTCCCCCAAAAACTAAAGCTAAACCAAACAAAAAAGCCAATACAGCCCACCATGGTAGCCACATGTCTACACAAAATCCTGCCTTAAAAAAAATAAAATATGCTGGGTGTGGGGGCACACACCTTTCATCCCAGCACTCGGGAGACAGAGGCAGGCCTGCAGCATCTCTATGAAATCAAGGCCAGCCTGGTCTACATAGTGAATTCCAGGCCAGCTGGGGGCTACAGGGAGACCCTGTCTCAAAAAGACAAATAAAAATAAATAAATAAATAAATAAATAAATAAATAGTCTTCTTGGGGTTGGAGAGATGGTTCCGAACGTAAGAGCACTGGCTGCTCTTCCAGAGGACCCAGGTTCAGTTTCCAGCACCCACATGGCCACTAAAAACCTTCCATAACTCCAGTTCCAGGGGGCCCAACACCCTCTTTTGGCCTCTGTGGGCATTGTACACATGTAGTGCACTTATATCCATGCAAGCAAAACAGTCATACACATTAAAAAAAAAAAGTCTGAACTCATGATCAGATTCACCAGGGTTCATCAAACTCCTGCCACTGGGAAGCACCCTGAGGAATACCATCATATCGTCAAAGCACTCTTCATTAGTATTAATGCTTTAGTCTGTCTACAATTAAAATTTATTTATGTTAGTACAGTGACTAGAAGTCCAGTGTCACTCAAGATGGAGTGCTCTTGTCAAGATGGACAGAAGAAACCCTTATGAATAAACGAGGAACAAATCTATCCTATTAAATTCCAGATGGAGTAGTGTGGCCTGCTGGCCTGAACACCTGGGAAGTTAGCATATGACTAGGACTGACAATACTTCAATACTTTACCACCAGGTGAGGCCTTCACAGGCAGAGTGCCACCCCTTTCTCAACTCTGAATTTGCTTCATCCCCACAGTGATTCCAGGAAATGTGTTATTACCCCATTTCACAGATGAGGACCTGAGGCACAGAAATAGATGAGGGAGAAGGTCACTCAGCATATAAACATGAACGCAAACTTTCACAGGACATCAGTCAGTCTTAACACCGGGCACTAGTGTTACTGGAAAGCACCCCTGTGTACTCCCAGTTAACTGTGTCTTGAACTTGGGTACACTCCATTTAGTCCAGTCCTTTTCCTTGGTGTTTGTTTGAGACAGGGTCTTGCCATGTAGCCCAGGTTGGCCTCGAACTTAACCTCAGTCTCCTCAGTGTTGAGATTTCAGGTAAGTGCCACCACATTTAGCTCTTAGTGTGGTTTTGTGCTCCCTAGGCTAGGCTCCCTGGGCACTGTCTGAAGAAGGAGCAGTGGCTTCCTAAATATTCACAGGGTGCTGGAATGGGGGTGCAGATTGGTGGTAGAGTATATGTTTTGCATGTGCCAGAAGCTCTGTGTCCCATCCACAGATGGAAAAAATTCCAGAGGCTCTTGGGTGTTTGCTGACCCCTTCCTGGAAGCTCTCCCTTCAACACACCCACATATGATGTCCCAGGCAGGGGAATCTTGTGAGGGAGGGAGGAGACCTGACCTTTGTGACCTCTTCATCAGTGTTTCTATTTTCCTACTTAGAAATCTAGGTAGGCAGTGCAACACACACACACACACACACACAATTACTATGGACCCTCTGGTGTCTTCTTCCTGTTTGCTTTTTAGTGCCAGACCTCTGTTCCCCTGACACATACACTTTTCACAGTCCCCAAAGAAGTGGGCTTAGACCTTGAACCATGATAATTTTCCTTCCCAAACTCCTCCCCAACTTCAGAGTCCCCAACATCCTGTATGCCTCCTTTCCCAGCTGGCTCCCCATCCAAACCCATCAATGTGCCCACCCTCTGTCCTTTTTCCCTTCAGAACTTCTCTTCCTTCTCTTCCTCTTCCTTCTGATCCCCCCAATACTCCACCATACCCCATCTCAGATTAGAATTCTGTAGAGGTTGGACTGTTTCCTCCCTCCTCAGACTGGAGGCTTCCTGAGCACCCACCCACCCATTCAGTTTAGTGGTGTCATAAATATGAGCCCTATTGCATCTGAGTCTGTGGAGTGGTAGACCCTGACTGGGCTTCAGTCCAGAGGGCTGTGTCTGTAGGCAGCCAATGGAATCCAGGTGTACCCTAGTGAATGATTAACTCTAAGCTGATGGACCTGGGGCCACTGTGTCTCCACTGCTTCTAGATGAGGGAAGGCCAGCTTCTGAATGAATGTAATATGTGTGTGTAGGGGAGGTCAGGGGTCCTGTCTTGGGCTTAGACAGTGGGTTTCTTCTCTGAACCAAAGGCTGAAAGGACCAAGTGGTCTGCTGCTCCCCACTTCTCTTAGGTCTTCAGTCTGGGGGATTCTGGGAACAGAGATTCAACCTTCCAAGTTGCAAGTGCCTCTCCTAACAGGCTCCTCAGCCCTAAGGGCCAAGGCTTCCTCTTTTCCCTCATTTTCTTCTTCCTCCTCCTCTTCTTCCTCTTCCTTTTGGTGGTTTTTGAGACAAAATCTCATGTACCACAGGTTGGCCTTGAAATCAATAAATAGTTAAAGGAGGACTTAGGATCCTCTGGCCTCTTACCTCCTATGTGCTAGGATTAAAGTTGTGCACAGCCATGCTTGATTTATTCAGTGCTGAGGATTGAACCTAGGGCCTCATGTATGCTAGGCAAGCACTCTATCAACTGAGCTGCATCCCTAGACCCCTCCCCTCCCTTCTTGGCTGTAACTCAGCACAGGTGGGCATGGAGCCAACAGGAATCTGGGTACAGTGAGGGAGGTACAACTGACATGTGAGAGTCCCAAATCATAGCACCTGAGGGGAGATATACAGCCACAGATGTGAACACAGGTGTATGGAGACACATAGTACCCAAACATGGAGCCCAGACCATCCATGCTTACACTGACATGCAGCAATAGGAGTACATACGGGAGTGAGAGAGGCAGAGGTCCACTCTGACAAGGACTTGCACAGAGCTGTGTTTGCTGACTATCTCAGCAACTATGTCACACCTAGGAATACACAGAGACACAGGAAAACAAACACAAACACACAAACAAATCCAGTTGTGGTCACTGAGAAATACAGGACATTTAGATTCACCCAGAGCAGAACAGCCCTCCCCTGAGTATGCCGTCCATCACTATACCTTCAGATCAAGCCATGTGACACAAACCATGGTACGCTCTGTAGCTGGACATGGGTGATGGCTGGGAACGCAGCCTTGATACCTGGTCTCATGAGAAATTAGCAGTCACAATGCCTTGATGTGGCCAGGGGGAGACTGACCATTCTATTTCAAACAATAATTTCTCCCTTTCTCTTCTCAAGCCCCTAGCACCCCCTTAACTTTCTGCTTTACAGAAGGGACAGTCTCAGAAAGGGGTTCCCCGGCTGGCAGGAGCCTCACCCATGTCTCTGTGCCATCTGTTAGGCCCACCCAAAGTCAGTCCTTGCCCTGGTGTAGGGAACCCACCTCTTCCCTCCTCCTGAGCATGCTCGAGCATGTGCTCCCTCGGGAGTCCCAGCATCAAAACTGTCGGCATAGACTCACATGACTTACCACAGGACCAAAATTTCTTTACCCCAATCCCTCACTCCACTCTGTGGCCAACTACTCCACCTTTCTTTTCTTTATTTAGCCTTAAAATGCTTGGAAATAGTGAACAAATGTGCTGTTTCCAGTTTCTCCTCCCCTGTTTCTGTTTTTAAAATATTTTATTATTTTTATGTGTATGAGTGTATTGCTTGTATGTGTCCACCCGTGTCGTGCAATGCCTGAGGAGGTCAGAAGAAAGCATCAGATCCCCTGGAACTGGAATTACAGATGGTTGTTAGCTGACATGTGGGCACTTGGACTTGAACCTGGGTCCTCTGCAAGAGCAGTCAGTGCTCTTAACCGCTGAGCCATCTCTCCAGTCCCCCTGTTTTTTAAAATTAATTAAACTTATTTTAAAGAGTCTCCAGTAGCCCTGATTGGTCTCAAGCTCTCTATGTACCTGAGGATGACCTTGGACTCCTGGTCCTCCTGCCTCTACTTCCCAAGTACTGGAATTACATGTACCACCACATCTATCCCTCCCTGTCTCCCTCCCTTTCTACCTTTCATTTTGTTTTTTGAGACAGAATCCAGAATCTCTACCCTAGCCCAGGCTGACCTGGAATTCACTATATAGTCTAGGCTGACTTCAAACTTGCAGTAATCCCCCTATTTCAATCTCCCAAGTACTGGGATTACAGGCTTTGTTCTTCTTTTTGGTTGAATCATACTGCATTCTTTATAGATCACTGTATAATTTTTTCTCCAGACTTGAAGGCTTGAAGGAACCATCATAGTGTGCTCATGGATGCTGTCAGTGAGGGATTCACGAAGCCTTCCTGGCAGTTCTGCTTCAGAGTTTCCTGTTGTGATCAGGATGGCTGGACTCGAGCAACAAGGGTAGAG